TTCAAGCGATATGCGGCGCTTGGGGTCGGGCACCAAGATCTTCCTGATGAGATCCTGAGCTTCTTTAGAGATGCTGTCAGGCATGATATACTTGGCCTGTGCGATATCGTGAAATAGATGCTTCATGTGACGATCGTCACCCGAGTAATTGAAAGGGGGTGCACCGGTAAGCAGAACGAATAGGATGACACCACAGCTCCAGACATCTGCTTTTGCGCCGTCGTAGGATGTAGTCTTGATGACTTCTGGGGCGGCATAATGCGGGCTGCCACAAGGCGTGGTGAGCTTCTTTCCGACCGGTTGTAAGGCAGCCATGCCGAAGTCAACCAGCTTGACTGTCATAGTGTCTCTGTCCAACAAAATATTCTCTGGCTTGAGATCGCGATGATGAATGTTGATTCGATGGCAGTAGGTTAAAGCTGCGATGATCTGGCGGAAAACATGGACAGCGTGCATTTCGATTAAACCGCCCTGTTCTTGAATGTAGGCGAAAAGCTCGCCACCTTCTACAAACTCCATGATGAGATAGCTGATGCTTGTCAGTCAACAGCTTCGAACTAAGTAATCAATGAGACTTACAGCTCATCACGGTTCTCCCAAATATCAAACAGACGGACAATGTTCGGGTGATCCAACAACTTCATGATACAGATCTCTCGTTCCAACCCAAACGGAATGACCTTGCCGTCATGGCATAGAGTTGGATCCTGCTCCGCACTCTGGATAAGATTGGCCAAACTCAACGCCCGAACTTTCTCCGCTGTGGCCTTGGAAATGATTTTTGCAGCACCGTATTGACCAGTTCCAGAGTGCCTGACAAGCCGTACGCGTGAGCAGCCGCCTCGCCCGATGGTTCTGCCCAGCTGCCATGGGCCGATGTGTGTTTTGAGACGGCGGCTTGAGCTGGAAGCATTAGTGCTTGCGTTGGAAACTTCTGAATCACGCTTGGAGTTTGGAGGACGGCCTTCGCGGGCTTGAACGGCTGAGAGACGCTTGTTATCTGGAGAACCCAGCTCGTTGCGAACTGCGAGTGAAGCATTTGTAACTACCAGACCTCTTTGAGCGACCTGCTGGGGTATGGGGGCTGGCTTGTCTCGATTGACTTGCTTTTCATCGCGTTGCTGGCTGTGTATACCCTCGTTAGCGCGGTTTGTGACGTCTCCGAGGACGCGGCGGCGAGACGGTGGACGGCCATGGAAGGCGGAGTCCATGTTCTTGGGTTAGTTGAATGCAGTGGTCAAGGCGCTGTCCTCGAGTAGTGCTGCAGTAGCGTTTACACCAGACGAGCAGGCTGTTAATTAGGCTTTTTAAGATGTGTGCAAAGAGCGTGTGGTATGGGTACAAACGCCAAAGAAACCAGTAGTCAGTGTTGTGGTAAACAAATTGGCTGTAGTTGGTGGGGCTAGGAAAGTGCCATGAGCAGGATGCCCTTGTGTTTGTTTACTGTTGTTAGTGACAGTGAACGCGTTGGACAGTCGAGAGCCAGCAAGATGGTACACTGGCAGGTAAGGGAGGAGTGGGTAGGTCTGCACTGCCAATTGAGACTGTAAATGCTCCCAAACAAAAAAGCTAACAAGTAGTTGGATGCATACGATGAGGCGGTTATACCAGGGTTGGTGTGAGAGTATCACAAGTAGTAGGAGGGGGAATTGGTGCACAGACGGACCCTGATGGAAGCGCGACTGAATGCAAACGCTGTCGCGGCAGGGCTCGCGTCGAGACAAGTTGCAGGCAGTGGCAACCCTCGTAGGCCAGAGCGCGTGTTAGATGCATAGTGTGCTCAAAAAGCAGTGGGAACGGCGCGAGTCTGGAGTCATGGATAGGAAGCATTGCTCGTCGTCCAAAAAACCAAACGGGGGGAATAGTTTTCTTAGTTGGACAACCCGGAATGTTTTCATTTTAAGAACACTATGTGGGGAGTAAGGATATTTACCTTTCACCTTGCCTACCATGGATGCATAAGACTGTGCCGTATAGGATAAGAAGCGAGCTGTAGCTCCTACATTAACCCTTGCGATAGTGAGTAGTCTTACATGTATGTCTAGCAATCGCAGAACTTTAAAAAAAAATCTATTTCTGTAAAAAATATACGCCAAAACCATAATGGCACGGGGCTGCGCGTATTGCTGACATGGCATGAGGTGAAGTCCAAAATGGATCTGGAGCTCGACCCGCAAATCGCTCCCTTCCCAACTTAAGGCGCGGGACATGCCGTCGCGATCTCCATTCCTTGCCCGGGTTCATGGGTGCGCTGTACAACCGGGCCGGTCCTGGGCACAAGCAAACAGGTAAAAGAAGGTTTGATTAACATGCGGAGTCGACTTTATTAGGGAAATATTGCATGTAGTGATATACCCCCTGCCCCACCCATCTGTTACAACTCCACGCTTACTCTAGCTCTCTGCGATGCGGATCGTAAACGTGAGCACATACGCACGGTACAAGGCAATGCACTGCATACATGGACATAATCAATATGGATACAGCTATATATCGGAAAATTATTCATCTTAAAATTCATTTGTTGCTTGCGCCGCTGATACACGTGTATATATGCACGGTGGAAAACAAGACAGGATGATGTTGCTTGCGATGCGAACAAAAAAGCAGTGGGGCGTATATTCCTATCCCTTTTTTTTTGGCAAACATTACGGTCCAACATGGGACATGTGAACCTTCCTCAGACGCGCGTTCCACTCCACCAGGAAACCTTCCTCATTCGTACAAAGCCCAAAACAGAACAAAACACGCAGCGACTGGCTAAGAGAAACGCAAATCAACCAAACACAAACACATACAACTCCCGCCGCTTACATAGTATACCTGATAGATACAGAGTCTGATCTGACCCAAGACCGAGAAACATCCAAAATGACCAAGAGGTATACGCGTTCCAGACAAAGACAGAGAGATGAAAGGAGAAAAAAATAAATAAAACCAAGTAGACGTAACATGCACAAGAAAGAAGAACGCGCATGAGAAAAAACGACATGTAAAACTCCCATACATGTCCCAGGGGTGTAACTTTCCCGTAAGAAAAAACATGAATACCATGACAAGTCGTGACCAGAATGCTGTGCTCAGCTGTAGCAACCGTGCTCCCTACAAGAGGTATACACCGAAACCTCGGAGGGGAATTCCGTATAAGAGTATATAGATAATACAGTAGAAGTGAAGTAAAAAAGCCGAAAAGGGACTTCTGCATGAAGCCGCGGACTGCGAGACGGATTACGAGTGGGATTTTAGATCTTCTGCCCTTGGAGAGTGGCTTTCGCGCTTGGTGTCGTTTTCGCCGACGACCTTTCCACAGCCTTTGACCAGGATGTGTCTCTGTACAATTGCGTTAGCAGTCTATTTACATGAGAGATAGAACTTATACAAAAAAACATACCTTGAGCGCATCTTTCCTAGAGAAACTCTTGTCACAATGGTTGCAGGGGAAGGGCTTGACGGCGAGATGTATCCTCTTGTGACGCTTCAAATCGTGATTCCTGTTGAAGCTCTGTGGGCACTGATCACACTTGAATGGACGATCGTTGGCAGTTGGTGGTTGGTGCTGGGGATGTCCCATGAAGTGTGGCATCTGCGCAGCGTGTCCACTGTTGAAGCCAGACATCATGCCGGGATGTCCAACAAGCGCAAGGCCTCCAGCAGGGTTCTGAACGTTGGAAAAGACAGGCGCTTGACCTCCTCCATACTGCAGAGATGGCCTTTGCTGGTATTGGTAGGGAGAGTGCGCTGGGTTGTTGGATGGGATCGATGGGATCGGGCCCTGCGACACAGCTGGTGACATGCGCTGCATCGAACCACCGGCGCTGATGGGGCTTTGCTGCTGACTCAAGGTTGGCGATGGTCCAGTCGAGTAGGGGAAGTTCGAGTGTTGGGGCGTTCCTGAGTTGTGGTAGCTGTAGGTAGGAGTTGGGGGCTGAGGCGGCCTGAATGAGTCCTGGCTGAGAGCGGGCGACTGCTGTGGTCCTGAAGAGGAGACGGGAGTTTGATTACCCATCATCTGTTGATGGTGATGATGCTGTGTAGAGATGGAAGGCATGCTTGATCCGTTGGACGAAGGCGTAAAAGGTGGAAGCTGCTGGGTCATTTCATATGGTGGCGGATTCAGCCCTTTGCCTAGTGAGTCCTGTCGTCCGAGCTGGCCCTCACCACGCGACGGAGCGAACATACCTCCTCGGGCTTGTCCGTATTGGTTCTGCTGGTGATGCGCAGCCTGATAGCCATATTGCGCAGCCGATGCTTGCGCAGGCGGCGAGTAGATGTATTGGCCGTTGGAATAGGCCATTGTTGTGGAATATTGTGAGCCAGCTGCTGAAACTCCAGTTGAGCTTATCACGTCACTGTGATTAGTGTTTGGTGGAGTCAGGAGGTTGCCAACGCTGGCAATAGTGACTGGAGCCTGTTGCGACTGTGAAGCGGTAACCGTGTTGCTGAAAGGATATTTGTGCATCGGTGGCGGTGGCAGCTCAAAACTGCCGAGTTGCTGGGCGTGAGGTCTCCGCGCTGCAAAGCTAGGAGGCGCACCCATTGGGTCAGACCCAGGATGCATGGAAGACGGATGAGCCACGGCAGCAGCCACGTTGGCGGTTGTGTCTCGGGTAGGTCCTGTTGACCTACCTGCTTCAAATGGAGGAGAACTGAGGGGATATTGCAGCGGCGACGCTACAAATGACTGAGTGGTGTAGTGGTCAAGACTAGACCAATACGGACCACGTAAAGGCTGCGAGTCCACGAAGGGTAACAGGCAGCTTGAAGCTCAAGAGCGTAGTGGGTGAGGGAAAGCTAGGGGCTCACGTCCAAAGGGGGACACAGAGAGCTGATGATAGGCAGGCAGTGAAGGAAAAGGGGACTTGCAGAAAGAACCCCTCTAAAGTACACCAATGTCCTGTCGGTCTGTAGAATGGGCAATGGTTCGCCGGTTCTAGTCTGTCGATGTGTCCGAGGGCTAACCGACTGGTCCGAGTCCTTTCGAAATGCTATAATAGAAACGAATGGTCCGAGCAATGGTACCTGCGCTGATTGAAGCAAATGGTAATACCAAGGTACGCACGTCTGGCCGTAAGAATTTTACCAAGTCTCAGTCGCTGCGACTTGTTAGTGTTGCTCGTCGTCTCAGGTCGAGGAGTGAGGGCGTACAAGAAAGCAAAAGCAGATACTCGTGGAACTGTGGTTGATGTCTAACACGAAGTGTTCGGTAGGGCCCGATTTCCTGGTTGCGCAGATGTAGTGCTACGTGTGCTGTCACACAGTATCTGTGTATGAGGATTTTGGGTTCAACGACAGTGGGTCATGTGCTCTAACTGTACTGGTGTTGTAGTCTGACACTGATTGGGAAATGCTCCGGATTGGCCCTGTGTTCTCCGTTGGTACTTGGATCCAAGGCTGTGGGTGGCGGCGTGTGATTCCAGATGACGAGGATGGAGACGACAAAAGAGGCAGTCACAATCAGGGTACTCTGCAGCGGCGTTGCAAAGAGGCTGTATTGTGCGTTTGGAGAGGGGTGATGCACTGATGGTTTGGCGGAGAGCAAAGGTGAGCCTCGTCAAGTGTTTGGCAGTGGTAGTGGTAGTGGTAGTGGTAGTGGTGATGGTGGAGTTGGAGGCGTGTGGAGTGGCGATCACTCCTTGTTAAGCTCAAGACCTGGGCGCCCTAGGAAGGAGCGATGGCGGAGAAGGCTGGAACCTGGGTGGACTAAGAAGGCTTTGTTACCGCGAGCGAGTGGAGAGCGCTGGGTCTTTACGTATATGTACGGCAGGCTAGGGTTGTCAGGGTTGGTGGGCTCGCGTGGCTGACTGGCGCGCTGGGGCTTTTGCACTATCAAGGGCTCAACCAGGCGATAGGGACCGTCCAAGCCTTTTGAGGATGATCTGGATCGGGATGGGAGATGAAGAATCAGCCCAAAAGCTAGCCTCAGGTGAGGGTGCGGGAGCGCTACTCACAGACGCACTTTGTCACAATAAGGCAATGCAAACGAGGCACGGCAGAAGCAATGCGACGAATGAATAATAAACCCACACCGTTCAGACTCAATTTAGAGAGCTAGACGAACATGGGGCCGCACACAGCAATGCATGACCAGGGGGTGAAAGCACCTACCATAGCCAGACCCTGTCGGCAGACCATCTGTCGGAGTGAGTCCTGCTGGCGTGCGGGACGGCTTTGACCAGCAAAGTGGGCGAGCTCATGGCTTGCGCCGGACCGCAGAGCGAATGGACGTTCTGTCAGCACGTTCACTAATAAGTATTGATGATGATGCTGGAGGATGGTCATTATGATGGGCAGCGCAAGCTGCCGGGGGGGAGGGGAGTGGGGAGCGGATGGGCGTGAGGGGGGATTGTTTGATGCTGGCACAAGACGACGGGCGGGTGGCGCGAGTGGACAGATTTGGGTGGACATGCGGCTCTCCTGACCCAGGCTTGCGGCACGACAAGAGACAGACACACGGCGGAGTGCTTTTGTCTCCCCCCCTCCCCCCTCACAAATCCCCCCAGTACCAAGGGTCAGGAGCACCCCCAGAGCGAGTGTAATGTGCATCGGGACTGGCGCCAAGGGGACCTGGGAGAGCCTGATGGCGCACGGACGCGGTCTGGCCCAAGGAGCGCCCGGAGGGGTGGTCAGAGAGACAAAGCCAAAACTCTACGACAACCCTTCCCCCCTTTGCTCAAGCCCACCGTTTGTGAAGGGCCAATGGCCGTTAGCTAGCAGTGCTACCAGACTTGGCCAGAGGAATCGTTGTGATGTGCACATGTGCCGATGGGGGGCATGGAAGCGCTAGGCGAGTGGACAGGAGCGCTCCAGTCGGTAGTAGGTAGACGTCGTCGCCCATCCATGACGCGCTGCACAATCACAATTCCCAGGGCTCAGCGTCAACTCCGGTGGGCATGGGTGTGTGTGCATGTGTGTGTGTGTGTGTGTGTGTGTGTGTGTCTGGCGAGCGAGAAACAAAGTGCAGCTGGAGGATAGGCATCCCTGCGGGTGGTCCAGTTCGGCGACCAGACGTGCGGCCGTGCTTTTACCGCTTTCTCATGTTAGCTGACGAAATGGCGCTGTGGAAAACGGGCCCAGCGCTAGCCGAGATGGAGCATGACGGCCAGCTGCACATGATTGCAGTCATTGGCATGGGCTGCCGAAAGACACTTGAGCATGTGTGTTTCGAGGTAAGATGGGGGTGGGTGTATGGATGCCAAGCAGCCGATCGACGCGATACCCGTTCCCTGTAGGCTATAGGGTAGGGATGGTGGGAAAAGACATGAATTGCGGAGCCATTGCATGAGGGTTGGAGCGTCATTGCGGAAGGCTGGTGATGGCGTCGAGAGCGAAGCCATTAAGCGGAGCAGGACGAGGGCGACGGTCTAAAATTAGGCGAAGTGGTATATTGCTTAGGGCACGTGTACGCCTGCAAAGGGCAAGGTGGAATAAGCAGCAGCAGCAGCCTGAGCAGTAACAGGAGCAGCAGCCTGGGTCCCTGCCCGCCTCAATCTCGTCTCTCACCACTCGCAGCCCAGAGCCCCAGTGCCCCAGTGTCCCAGTGCCGTCGTACATTCTTCCTAGACGGGCGCCTTTCCACGTGGAGGTGCATTGGCTATACGTTTCCGGCCCATTGTTTTTGCGCGCGTCTGCTGCCGTCGCCTGGGGGGCCTGTGAAGGGATTGGTGCCAGCCCAGCCAACAGCGACACACTGCCGGGCGCTGCGCAGGCACACGCTGCTGGCCTTGTACCCACCTGCAACGCTGTTGGTTGTGGTTGTAGTAGTAGTGGTTGTTGTTGTAGTGGAGGAGGTGGTGGTGAGGGTGCTCGAAGCATGCATATACCTGCCACCTTGTCCTTGTCCTTGTGCTGTGCAGTCGGGTCAGGTCAGGTCAAATCAAGGCTGGGTGCAAGTGCAAGTGCAAGTGGGTGCAGGCCGCCTCGCCAAAGGGCCTTTCCCGGCGGCCTGGTTTGACCAGCTGGCGGAACAAGAGAGGAACAAGGAACCGGGGACGACTCCGCGGTCGATCCGACTCTGGGTTCGTCTGGATAATGGCAGGCCCCGTGCTGGCGCTGGAAGGCTGATGCCACAGACCATTGTTTTGGGGCAGCCGCTGCGACGACTAGCTCAGGCGTGCTGCAGGGCCAAGCGCACACAGATGGCGTAGCCGCGGGCCTTGTCCGGCTCCTCGTACACGCTCACACGCTCGGGTTGCCGTGTCGGTGGGCGTCACAACGTGGGCGTGCCCTGCCACGGTCCAAGTATAGTACGTACCATACTTACATGCCACTATGTGCGTACATAGCTGCCCATGTATAAGCAAACGGACAAACACACGACGCATCCAAGCACCCGTACCCGCACGCGCACGCGCACACGCACACGCCCATGTACTTATCTGTGTCTGCCTATTGCTATGCTGGGGATGCCGGATATCGACAGGGGCGGTGCAGCCGAGTGTTGCAAAAAAGGTAAAAAAGAAAACAACACATGTCCAGGGCTGCGCAGCGCATCGCATCGCACGCAAGACGGCATGCTCCCTTTCATCTCTCAGCGTGTTTTGTCACTGTGATGGGGATGCGAGGTTGGGTCGAATCCTGGACACACACAGCCAATCACGTAAGCGAATAAGCGAAACCGGAGAAGGTTTCCTGATTCGCTTAATCCGCTGTACCAACACACACCCACCCACACCCACACCCTCACCCTCACCCTCTCCTGCAACGCTCTTGACGGCTGGACGCGGGCCTGGAGCCTTTGAGCGCCGGCAGCCTTTCACCCCATCGTCTCGCTTGGCTGCTCCAACGCGCTTGTGCTTGTTTGCGCCTTGCTGCAGAGTACAGTACGAGTGCGAGTACAGTAGAGTGTGTACTATAGACGCATCTGCACGCACGCTCTCGCTCTCCCTCCAACCAGGCAGCCAGCCAGCCAGCCAATGCCCCCCCTCCAACGCCCTGGACAAATCCGAACCCCACTACTACACTTCGTCATGTCATCATCCGTCCGCCTGTCACCAGCCTTGCCCGCCCCATCCAAATGACTGCTCGCTCGACTGCCTCCAAGGCCGCCAGCTAGTACTCGTACAATAGGCATTTGCTTCCACATGGCGCCGCCAGCTCGTCACATCGCTCCCCCCTCGCTCCCTCCATGCGTCCACCATGCCTCCCGACGTGACGGCCTTCCCCTCCCCCCTAATCGGCCACCCGTCAAGCCAGATCAACGGCCTCCCCCGCCGAGCTGGCTACGCTAAAGGTCCCGCCCGTTCTACCCTACCGATCTCTCTGCACAAGCGTCTCAGGCGTTCGGGGTGCCCGTGGCCCCACATGTCTCTAGCCCTTGATAACACGCGGGTTGCAAGACCCAACTCAGCGTCTGGCTCTAGCGTAACCAGCTGGCCCCCCTTCCCCGTCACCGCCAAGCCCACCCATCCCAGGTCCGGAGTCTTGTTCTCCTAGCCGACGACGCCTGTCTGCGCCCATGACGCCCACGACGCCCTAACCGCCCCCCTGGATCTCCGTTGACGCACTGCCTGAATTGCCAGAAGCAAAACCGCTCTCGCTCTCGCTTCGCATCCAGTCCGCATCCGAAGGCTGCGGCGGCCACGTTGTGAGCCGCACCTCCTCTCCCACCGCCCCCAAGCCCACCCGCCTCAGCACAGTCATCGCAGCCAGCGCGCTTCTTTTCAAGCCGTCTGCAGCCTCCTTAAAGAACTACTCCAGGGCCCATTGCTTATACACGGGCTGTCGTCATCACCACCGTCGCCATTCTCACTACGCATGTGTGTGTGTGTGTGTGTGTGTGTATATGTGTGTTGCTTGTTGTGTTTACGGCCGCGGCCTTGTCACGGGTCACACCGGCCAAGGGAGTATATTGCGACCAGTCAGACTGGCCGGCCTGTTGACAATTACCTGCTTGCGTGACTGAATCGCTGTAAAATGACGTCCTGTACCCCCCACGTTACTAAAGTTTCCAGCTCTGGACTCAATAGCTTCGTCTCCTGCGTGATGCAGCCGAAAGAAAACAACCCAAGGTTTGGGCCTCAAGATTTCCACTACCATTTCGTGACTAGGACTAGGGCTCGGGTTCGCCTCGCCTCCCCCTGCTCTACTCAACTCAACCTGTGTCAAACTACGTTTAGGCCAGCTCCCACCGACCAGCATACTTGTTTTGTCGCTTCTAACCGCTCTGGAACGCTTCCAACACGGCCATGATATGATTACTACTAGTCTTGGTCAGCCCGCTCACGAGCGCTAGTTTCAATCCCTTCTCTATCCTGGACCGAGTGGCAGCATGCTTCCACTGCCGCGCAGGCCGCCCGGCTCAGCCTGGCCTCTCTCTCCCTTTTTCCCTTCCCCCCTCTCTCCCCCCCCCAAATTGCCGGCAAAAACTCGCCGCAAATCTGTTGATTTCCCCGAGCAAAAGCTGCGTACGTGCCCATGACGTTCATGTTGGAGTCAAGGCCATGCCGCGAATACATACAAGCCCAAGCTTTGTATATGCCGGCATCGCATCCGGTCTGCTAAGACTGTACCTGCATCAAAGGCATACCCTCAACCATACGTCTGTGTGGCGGACGCCATCATCTCAACTCCGCACCCAGGATCTCGCTGATCTTTGCCAGCCACCTTGTTCTTTGCCTGAACCAGGACGCACCACTTATTATGCCCGCTAAGCTAAACGCCCGCAAAAGCCTTCCCGTCTGGCAAGTGCACCACTGAGATCGATGATGTACACAGGGTACACCGTTGTACGATATTTTGCTGTCGTCGGAGGATAATCCGCTTTGGTCACCAGTTGACTGCCGTTGCCGAGTCTTTTGCCCACTTCCGGACGGTCCAGACAGACGATGGCCATTCCTGACTCGCCCATGCAAGTTTTGTTCCATCATGGGTCCAAAGAACACCTGATGAGTTGCATCTAGATGAGATGTCCAGGTGCGCAGTGGAGGGGCGCTGACACAATATCTGTCAACAAAATAACATGCACAGGTGAAACGCTATTCGCCCAAACATGTAGTAGTCGCTTGGCTGTTGGTCATCGAGGCGACAGCCAAATCCTTCTCGGCTGTTCGTGCATCCATATTGGTGGACAAGCGCGCAGTCTGCAAAGTCTCCGCCAATGGCCTGGGTCGGCATTCTCAAGCCCGACCAGCTCTCCACACGCTGCCGGGTAGCCTGGACCAATCACGACCAGCCCGTATCCCTCTCTTGGTTTCATCCATCCATTCTCGTAAAAAGGTGCATAGCCTGACGCTATTCACTCAGTACTATCTCGACGAAGCTCATCTGTTCGTACTCTACGCACGCGCGCAGCCAACCCCATCGCACTTGAGAGTGGTTGGACTACGCTTAGGGCGAGGCGATAATATCAAACCAAGCTGGCCTGATGCTACAACTCACTCTGCATATGCAAGAAGGGCCCAACTCATCCAATCAGCGAAAACAGTTTTTGCTTTTTACATTTCTGTCACCGTTTTTGCAATCTTCCCACGCTCCCTCAACAGGTCATGTCTCAGTTTGCCGGGTGAAAATTTGCTTGGCTGCCTCGTGAGAACCCATACATGTCGCTGAGTGTAACATTATTAGGGTTGGTTGCTTATGTGTGGCAGCTACAAAGGAAATTGCCGTGTTGTGATGATTACATATTTACACAAGCAATGGTAGTCCTTGCAAGATCGCCAGTCCCGTGTACCAGTATCCAAGGACGGCTGCTTGTGATTACTGCAGCTTACATTTGACGTGCAGCAAGGTTAGCCCCAAACACCATGGCTACAATCAGAGCATGCCGTCTGACCTCCATCCACGCTTTGGCGCTCGTTGGTCCCGGCTATTCGGGGGCCATTTTGGCCCTGCTTTCGCTTGGTATGCTTGTTTGTGAGAGTGGCTGGCTTTCGTTGCTGCAACTCACCCATCGTCGGGCGTCAGGTAGAGAAGGATTGCCAAGGAACACGGCACACAATCATCAAGTGGGCTTGCGGCGGCGGCGGTGCCGGTGGGCGTGTTGAGCGCACTACTGTGTAGATGGCGCTTCGGAAGGTAGCTCTGTCCAATGCAAGCTTTTCAGCTTCATCCCCATTCGAATATGGCGCTTTTTATTTATTGTTTGAATATTTGGCGATGGCGAATACCACTGAATACGGCGTCCCATAATTGGAACATGCAAAGCAACAAAGTTGGCCTTTTCCGGCGGTATCCCGTATAGAGAGGTGAGCTGATGGGCTGTGCTGCCTGGCGGCTACAGATGAAACTTTCCGCACGCAGTTTGTCACCCAAAAGGCTATGACAAACTTTGATGCTGATGAGGGGTCAGACCGATAAGAGCTCTTTTCGGGTCTCCTTCATGCCGCAAGAGGGACAAAGAGCCCACTTTCGGCTTTTGTAGAAAAGTCAGAAGACTAGCTGCTCTGCTTGAACATAAGATAGTGCTCTCGATAGCCTTGTCCTGTTTCTAACTAATTACATTTGTTGACTGTGTATGTACACTCAGCTTACATCCTCAGTGTTTCGGACTTGGAGAATGAGAGACGTCAACCCGGTACTTCCTCGATTTGCTCAGACGAGGATACAACGGCAGTGAAGCCCGGAGCAACTGATCAAGCAAGGGGGGGGGGGGTTTCTTCCTTACTTTTGCCTTTGATACCCACATTTTGTCTCACTTTGCTAAGAATATGCATATCTGTATTGATCATCTGCGCTCACGTCTTTGGATAGAAGAAGCAGGACGGGGCGTAAGTGCCCAGCTTGAAGGGATGCAGGCTTACCTGAGCGGAGTCGACAATGTTACAGTCACACTTGACTTACCGTAACGGAATTCAACGTCACAGGACCCAGTCTCGCATCGATCTGTACGTCGAACACGTGTCCAGCTTGTCTGGCCATGTTGAAGAGTTGCAGCGTTATGAGCAACTTGTTCATCGAGTTCCTCCCTCTAGATCGGATCGCCACTTGCTCCGATAAAAAAAAGACGAGAACGCATTTGGAATCGAGCATTACCTAGCCTGAGGCGGGATACCGAGTTTCCGCTCTGGCATCGACTATCCGAATCGCGGCACGATCAGGTTTCATGGCGAGACTGACCTAGTTGCGTCAGGCTGAACCCGTCTGGTATGCTATGCAATTCATCGTGACACACATACATACACGAAGGCCGTACAGGGGGGGATTTTGTTGTCGCTTGTAGACCGGTGCTGACCATTAGGCCCCCTCCCCACTCTGAGTTAACGCCTGCCCTTGCATCGCATTTACGTACTTGCCAAATCAAGTCTATAATGCGAAGAAAAGTAGACAGACACGTCACATTAGCTGTAAGCGCTGGTAGTGATTGCTGTATGTTATTTTGGTGTTTGCATGGCGGGCGAGTTTTGTGATTGTCTTCAGACTCAACTTATTTTGGCCTTATTTAGTTGTCTATCATAATAGACGGGTCTGATGGAGTGTGGGAGCCTTCACACTGAGTGGATTTCTATTCTACTGGATTTTATTGCGGGTTTGAGTATATTTTTCGGGTAAGTTGCTGTAAGAGAACAGGCTGGTAGACCCATAGCTACGCTTATCGGGCTTGTAACGTCGCATTCCATTCCAACCTATAATTCTCTGCGTTTGTAAAATAATAATCTATCACTTGATCGGGCATGCCACATTTCAGAAGATACAGCTATCTTCAAGCTGTACAGCGTTGACAGACCCGTACGGATTTCCCCCCACCCGCAGAGGCCGGTAGATAGACAGTAAGCCTGCTCACTCCAAGCCTTGAACCAGCCATTTCAAAATCCCATATACGTCACATCAAGCTAGACTCACAAAATTAAACACAAACTGCAGCCCACAATGCCTCAGGCCACAAGCCCCCAAGTCCAAGCCCAGGGGCCAGCCCAAAAGCCGCCGCCGCACTGTCCCCTATGACGTTACCACCCCCCTTTCAAAGGCAAAAAAACGCCCAGATCCCGCGTAAAGGCAGGTATACGCTGAACAGTACAAGAAGCAAGCACAAAACTACCCAAAGAAGAAAACAATCAATCACTGCACCTCGTATCGGTCCTTTGATCTTCGCTGCATCTACACAACGCAGCGTAGCATCATCCCCCCTGTATACCAATGGGCAGCAACAAAAAACATAACAGTGGGGATCTCATATCAATCGTCTTCCTTCTTTTTTTCTCTCTCTCTTAACCCTTCCAAGCTGATATGTAGAAAGATGAAGATGATCTCAAAGCAAAAGGAAAGAAAACAAAAAGCGGAGGAAGGGGGGGGGAGGATGAGGGGGAGGCGTGTGATACGGAATATTCTAGGTGATTTGTAGCGACTTTGGTGATTGCCGATATGGCGAAAGAAAGGAAAAGACACACACACGAGAAAAAAAGGAGATCTGAGCGATTTCTGGAAAGATTGCCATGTTTTGCATCTCACTAGGGGGGAGGGGGAGGGGAGATTCTGGGTAACTTTACCGGTAGGTTCAAGGGGTGGGTGCGTGGGCGAGTGGGTGTATGTGCTTGTCCCCGTGTATGTGTGTATGTACGTGTGTGTGTGTGTGCTCCCCGCGAAAAGGCGAAAGGGAAAAAAGGGAACGGTACGGGTAAGCTCCGGGCTTCTGTTGATGCGCATGCTTCTTTTTTCTTTTCTTTTCGCTTTTGAGTGGAGGGAATGGTTGGAGCGGGTATGTGGGATGTCGTGTTTTGCTTCTTTTGTAATATTTTTTGCTTGTTCTATGGCAAGGTTGCTTTTTACCTCCCGAAACGTTGTGTCGCACACACACACACATACATGCACGCACGCACCTACGCATTGTCCTTGATCCCTTTCTCGATCCCCTTTCCAGCGCGAAGGAAAAGAAGAAAGTAAGCCGTGCATGTACGCTACGCGTGGGAAAAGAAAAAAGGGATATGGATGGGGGAGGGGGGGATGAGAGAAAAGAAACACGGGCCGTTTGCTTTTGGCTTCGGCTATCGTACGTATCCTTCCCGTACCCTTCCTCAGGTTCCGTCATGAACATCTAATTTCGTTTTTTTGGGCTGCGTGCTTTCCTACCATTGCGGTCACGGACTTTTTGCTTTCCATCACCCTGAACCCTATACAGGGTCCAGTTAAGATGCAGTTGCTTTTGAGTGAACCCAGTCTTTTACTTTGTCTCGCTTGTTTTCTTTCTTCTTTCTTTCCATGTCGCTTTTTGTTCTTTTTTTCGATTAAGTGCTCATCGCCCCCCTTGCCCTGCGTTCTCTTGATCAGTAAATCTTGGATTGGAGTAATGTCGGCATTAACGATGTGCATCATGAGCACGTCATGCCGGTGCAGTTGCAGTGCAGGAGCGTCGAGATTTGCTTTTTCTGGACTGGCTTTTTCTTCCGCGGGGTTCGCTTTCGTGACGGTGGTCTATTTGCCGGCAACAGGTTTTACACCTGCAGTACCCTTGTGCATGCCGTTTGATGAGCAAGATGCTGATTTGATGATGGATTTTCTTCCAGTGGAGCAACTACGACTTGGCTGACCCAGGTTTTGTTTCCAGTACAAAGGAAGGAAGGAGATGCATGCACCGGGAATCGGATTGATGAGTATGTACGAACATGGCACCCCGCTCTGGAGCTCATGCTCTTTTGAATATTTGTGTTTACTTTTGGTGTCTGAAATGAGGCTGGGGCGATGGTTGTCGATATAGAGGAATTATCGATACGCTGTTTTTATTTTGATAGGAGGCCTTGCGGCTGAGCCGGCCTTGCAGATGTGGCGAACGCAAAGATAGGCAAGGGCAATGCATTGTATGAGACTTTTGAAGCTCAGACTCAGTCTCATATAGACTCTGTAATTGCTTTCGCAAAGATTTGGGAGGCTGGGCTGCATTCTTGTTGGCATGCCTCGATCACGCTACCATGATCGAGTTCAGTTGACGATTGAGTTCAGTCGTGAGGTGGCGATGCATACCCCGTTGAGTATCTTTCGATACGCATTGCAGAATCGAGCAGGAGGTCTCCAAGGCTGCTTCTTGTCAAATCTTATCACTGGTGAGAAAAGCGATCTTGCAGAGAGATCTCATAATGTTTCTATCAAACATCACAATAATGATGTAGTTGTCAGATTTGAGTTGCTCAGTAAGAGGTGCCAAGAAGACCGTCAAGAAGAATGCATGAATATTTGCACATAACGGCAGCGTGGCTCACTCTTTGAGAACAACTACAAGATGCTTCTAGTGAATGTTGAGCTGTTGCAATTAAATTGACTGATCTAAAACCATGTACTCAATACGTGTGATAATTCATATAATCTCTATTCTGTTAAAATATTTTTTGGCTTTAACACCTGAATTGCTAAAGTGATATAAATCAACGTATATGGCTTTGTAATCTTAGAGGCCAGCCATGTGAAATGTGATCACTTCCATAGGATAACAGGTAGTGTAGAAAGAAATGCCTTTCTGTGTTGGTAGTGATTTCTCAAAATCTTGCCATTGGGGAATGTCCTTTACTAATCAGTGTTGTCAGCTTTTCACAAACTTCTTCATTCATCTTTCATAACATCAACATTAAAGAAATACACGGATTTTTCCGATTTCTATACGAGACCAGCATCTCTTTCGCCGACTTTCCCAGTTTTATTGTGAGTATTTCTTCCAAATTTACTCCATTCCACCGAGACCAGTCTCAAAATACCCAATAAAACCCTAACGCCAAAAACCTTCATCTCCGCTCCCACAAACAGTCAAGTAACCCTCACACCAACCCACCTCCCTCTGTCCCACACACCCAACCCAAGTCCTCGGATATCACCACCCGTCCCAGCATAGTGTCTCCGAGCTAAGACACGAATCGGATTCTATGGCTCTCGCATTACACAAGGCCAGCAGCCCCGTTCAAGCCCTCTTCTCCGCCGTACAACAACGATTCCTAGCTCCACTAGCGCTTATATCATGCAACCAATCGCACCTCCAAGAAATGTGCGCCTTTGGCGTTTTTTCCTGCGAGTCGTGGGTAGAGAGCCTGGTGACACGGGATCGGTATGTAAGACTGGGGGTAGAAATCGGTGGGGAACTGAAGCAATGGGTTGGATTTTGTGGGCTGATGTTCGTAACTGGAAGCGGTGGAACTTGCCGACTTTCTTTTCCGTCTCTTCTTCCCTCTTGCAATTTGAAGGCGCGGTGTCGTACGAGCGGGTTTTTTGAGTGTGCGTGAGAGAATGCGGTTGTACAAGATATAGGAAGTGGTCGGACGAGATTAGGTGGCTGATGCACCGAAGAGGTAAGTTTGTGTAAGTATGATCATTGCAAATACATGCTAGGGTAGGCAAATGGGCATTTCTGGCATGAAGATAATGATTGGTGTTGGCATTTCTGGCTGTCGCGGCAGTGATTTAATTGAAATGCACGTGGTGAGCATATGTCTTTGAAAGTTGTCAATATTTATACTACATCTCACAATCTCTAATTCTCGATGAACTCCTAATTTAGAGTTCCCATTTGGATTTGTTCTCCATTCTGGCCATTCGTGTTGTAATGGGTGGGAGATTCGAAAGTTGAGGCGTTGCGGCCTGTAACTGCAGAAATAATTGTTGCACGAGACCTCATTATAGTCCACCATGCATCGTGGACCGTAACGTGATGTCGGACCACACTTAATTTTAGATCATATTTGAGATGAATAAGGGAGCTTGGTTTGTGTCTGTTTAGAGTCGTCTAGTTGTCGAATGAAATCTCTCGAATCAGATGTTCTCGTACAGGAATTGGCTAGATCATAACCTGAGTGTATTTTCAATAACAATATCATAACCTGTTACTCTCATGGTTATCCCCTGCACCCTAAATTTCTTCCTGACGGCCTCGGAGACATTTGCTCGCCGGGTTCCGGAGACGGGGACTTTTTGCAAACAAGGCCACCGCCCTTCTTTGCTAATCGCCGACAGTCTTGAGCATAGCTTCCATCTAAAACGGCAGTTTCCGTTCCGTTTATGCCCTCGTGCCTATATTGAAGGCAATATATGTAGTATACGCTTCACTCGAGGAGAGACTTACTGATTATACTCTCGACTACTCTCCGAACCCCACCTTTGCACCACCAGTCATCGTCATGACCGACTCACAAGGCACCAAACCGTCTCTACCCAAGTTTGATCCAGATAACTGTCAAACCTACGCGGCAAGTTGCCACTGCGGTATTGTACAGTACTCCGTTCTTCTCTCCCCACCACTACCCCAGTGCAAGGTCGTATCGTGCAACTGCAGCATCTGCACTCGCAACGGCTACTTGCTAGTGTATCCCGAGAGGTCCTAGCTACACATAAAGAGCGGTGAAGATATGCTAAGGGACTATTCTTTTGGGTTGAAAAGAAATTTACACAAGTTTTGCGCAAACTGTGGGAGCGCAGTTTGGTTTGACCCGAGAATGTGGCGATTTGAAAAGACTGGACCCGATTTGTTGGGTATGAATGTATGCCGTATGCTTAATTAGTTGGGGTCAGAACCTAGCTAATAAACTGTGTAGGTTCGCATGTTCCACGATATTGACATGAGGGCATTGGATATTACGCTGGTGGATGATAAACAACAGCCGGGAAGGCCAGAAAAGGAGCAGCCGTGATGATGATGTGTATCGATATAGTTCAGCACATATAAGAAATGATAAGATCCAATGTTTAGTGCCTACGTATACTTGCATTGAGTACTTCCAACACAATGCATCCGCGTGTGTAGTATGGCGGAATAATGCCGCTCGCGAGTCGAGGCACCATAAGTGCCAAGCCGCTAAAGTTGAGCCTCGGTGAACTAATCCCTGTCATCAGCTCAAGGTTCCGTCCCAACTATCACAGACTGCGATATCTGCAGTCAAGAATACAAATATGTCTCGAGCGCGCATTCTCCTCAATCGCACTCCTTTCACAGCGCCTTGTCGGGCTTCGCGCCAATTCATCCGTCACCCCCGCAATGCCCAAGTCCTCGAGCTTCCCCTCCAATCCCGCATCCGCTGGTCCTACCTGTGGTACGCCAGCATCCTCGCTCTAGGAATAACAACTGGCCTAGGTGCCCGCCATTTCGCTGCACCTCTCGGTCTTCCCGAGCCCGGATCGCCAGATGACGACCTGATTCTTGATTCCCTCAGCCGCGACGTGGATGCTCTGGAGATTGTACAATCACTCCGATCGCAATCATACAACCTACACACCGATACCGCCCTCCGGTCAGGACCAGGATTGACATTTGCGCCTGCTCCAGGAAGTCGGAAGATATCAGCTTACAAAGGATGGCTGGAACTGGATTTGGATTTTGGTAGGGAAAATGACGGGAAGAAGGGCGTCTTGGGTACTATGGGCGGGGCAAGGGGACTAGGAGTGCAAAGGGCATTTTGGAATGCCGAGACCAGAGAGATGGTGGCGGTGGTATGGATTGGAGGAGGACTGGCTGGCTGGCCGGGTGTCGCGCATGGTGGGGCTATAGCGACTATCTTTGAGGAGATTTTTGCGAGGATGGCGAAGGGTCCTGATGGACTTGTTGGTACGTACATTGACGCATTCATATCCCATTTCGCAGCTAGGTTTTCCGCTGACAAAAGTATCCAGAACCAGTCCATCGCCCCGACTCCCTTTCCTTAACCTACGCAAAACCTACGCATAGTCTCGATTTCTACGTCATACGCGCTGCTTTCTCCAAACCTGATCTGCCACAGTCCGAACCACCGCCTGAGCCGGAATCCGAACCTACAAAGAGCTGGCTAGCATGGCTATCACCAAAGAAGGACCTCACAAAGAAGCCGCAGGCTTCCAGTCAGGAGATTATTGCGACTCTTGAGAATATCAAGGGGGAGTTGTGTGTAAAAGCCAAAGGCACTTTTCGCAAATTATGATCGAATTGATCAAAGGTATGTCGGAAACTTCTTGGAGCGCAGTAGTGCAGAGTCGGTGGTCTGGTGTGCACAATGAGATACCCATGAGCGAAGAGCGAGTTTTGAGATGCACCTACTTCTGTCTCAACAATATGCGTTAGGTTTTGTGTCCAGCCATGGACCAATCGTGAGATTTGTTGTGAACACCGTATGAAACTCTTTTCAAATACTTCTCTCAGTATATGCCCCTCTTAGGAGTTTACAGGGTTGCCAGAGTCTGTCAATGGTAAACAACCTTTGTGCGGTGATCATGCCAGAAAGAACTTAGGAGACGTTCCTGACCAAATAATCAAATGCTCTTGCTTTCGTAGAATTGTTGCAGACAGAACAACCCATATTGAGGCCTGATGCCATTCCAACAATCCTACCTTCACTCCGCATTTAGTTTGTTTGCTTCTCTTCTATACTAACCCATAGACTTGTCAACGAACTAAGACTCTTCCAAACGCAACCATAACATTGCAACGAACTAACAAACATACATAGAAGAAATCACCCAGCTTCTATAAAACTTTCGCTCACAGTTTACGACTTACACACTCCACAAGCCCAATACACCACCAAGACCAGTATGCGCATACAACAATACACAACCTTCCTACTACCAATCTACCTATCCCTCATCCTACCGATCACCTCCACCACCGCCAACCAAAGCGAATATGTCCGAGCAACAATCAAAGGCATCCGTACCCTCGTCCGAGACGACCGCCACCCATCCCTCTACACAACCGACTACGCAGACTGCCTCGGCAACAGCACCATCAACATCACCCGCTTCGACGCAGCATACTACAAAGACAACATGACAATCATGTTCCATCTACGCGGAGAGACCGGCTTACAAGACCACGTCATGCTCAACATCGCCGTCTTCGCATACGGCGAGACTCGGTTCTCTCTCACTTTCAACCCGTGTGACGCGAATATCTGGAGGTATGAGGTCCTCGCTCTCTGCTAAAGAAAACAATGACTAATGAGTAGGTAAAAGCGCCTGTCCCGTTCGCCCTGGGACGCCCATCGAAGCCGCGGGTATCATACCCATTAGCCCGGCCGACGTAGCAGGAATCCCGGAGCTGGCACTGAGTATTCCGGACTTTGAGGGCCAGGCTGTGCTCCGGGTGTTTGCGAATAAGACGGAGAGTGAGATCGGGTGGTTTGCGGCGGGGATTACGAATGGGTGGACGTTTCGACATCAGTACTGTGTCGGGGCTATCCTGGGGGGTTTCACGCTGGTAGCGGTTGCTGCGTCGTTTGCTACAGCGGCGTGTGGCGGTGATGTGCTCGGTATGCGGAGGCATTATGCGCATTCGATGTCGGTTTCCGTTGTGGTTTCCGTGTGGCAGTATATTTTCTTCAGCGGAGCGCTGGAGATGGATTGGCCGAGTGTTCTGGTGGCTTTTTGGAGCAATCATGCTTGGGCAGGAGGAATAATATATTATGAGCCGATGCAGAGTATGATTGATGGGTTTATCGGCTTGAAAGAGGGGGATGAGGTACGGACTCGTGCTGCTGGTACGACTCAAAGCGACCCGTATATTGGTGGAGGAGTCGACATTCATCATATATATGGCCGGGATACCCTACCTACAGAGCTCGGTTCCCAGAACGCTTTCAAGAAACGTTACTTGAACGATCTCAACGGCGGATTCAAGTACGACGGGAAGCAAGTCAAGCCTGGATTACCACTTCCAGGCGATTACTCCGGATTTGCAGGTACACTTGCGACGCAGCAAATCCCAGTCCGCAATGCCTTTCTGACCGGACTCCTCTGGTTACTGCTCTTATCCGGATGCACCATTATCTCCATTCTCACGCTGAAAGCAACCGTTGAAATACTAGCCAGTCTCCGCATCATACGCGAGAATCACCTCAAGTACTTTCGCCGTCACTATCTCGCCTACATTACCACAACGCTACTACGCATCCTCTTCATCAGCTTCTTCGCAATAAGTTTCCTTTGCATGTCCCAGTTTCCCTTACCAGCATCACCGAGGACTGTCGCTGTCACCTATGTAGTCTTTGTGACTGCGGTGCTTGGGCTCGGTAGCATTGCTGCGTACGCTTGTTTCTCCAAGTTACGTCTCAAAGGATATGTATTTGAGCCAGATCGGCTCAACATATCGAAGAATCGAATACTCAAGATTATACCGTGGTACAGTATCTCGAAGGATAATGCGAACCCACCTTTGAGAGATAGCGTGTGTGTTTGCTCTATTCCATGGTGGAGGTTACATGCTACGACGGACCTGACATCGATTCATTCCGATGAAGCATACACCGCAAAGTTTGGATGGCTTGTATCTCGTTACAGAAAAGGCCGATGGTGGTTCTTTGTCGTCTGGCTACTCTACGAATTCCTCCGAGCCGCTTTCCTTGCTGGGGCTTCCAGCCAACCCACTGTGCAGGTTTTTGGTCTACTGGCAATCGAGACCGTTGCGTTCGTTACATTTATTCTCCTCCGGCCATTTGAAGGACAACGTCTAAATGTGATAGCGGTATATCTCCTCGGCTTCAGTAAAGTTACTACTACAGCGCTTTCTGCAGCCTTTCATCCGCGCTTCGGTATTGCCCGCATTCCTGCAACAGTGATTGGGATCGCCATCATTGTTATTCAGGGCCTTTTGACTATTGCAGTCATAATACTCATCCTAATTGGCGCTATTTCGAGTTACATGTCGATATCACGAGACCGTACAGAAATGAAGCCAAAGAGTTGGACAGCAACCCGCGAGAAATACTTTGAGCACATAGCTATTGCAGAGCGAGATGCTCCGCGATCGAGAAAACGCCCAAACCCAGAGGATATCATAACTGGTGTCGCGAGAACCCCATATTTTGAAGTCAAGCAAGTCAAGCGAGTAGCCAAGATCGAGGACGAAGACATCGAATTTATGGATGAAATCTCCCAAGTCCCTTACCCGTCACAGCCAGTACTACTATCTCCAAACCGCACTCTAGTCTCAGATTCGCCGAGATCTCTGCTACAGCGCAGCAGAACAGGCAGCTTCCAATCACAAGCCTCACATTCAAGCTTACTGCCACGAGCGGCCCGCTTGTACCGTGCGAACTGGAGCATGAACGACCTCAATGACGCAACAGGAACTAGACGTCACAGGGTCATGAGCGATACTAGTCTTGTTTCCCGACTCAGAAGTCCAGAGAAGCTCGAGGGAAAACCAAGTCCCGGTGGGGCTTCGATGAAGCGATCGGATACTCCCGCGCTCTCGTCGTTTGAGCATGCAAACAGGGGTCGAATGGAGCATGTGGAGAGTGTGGCGCTGGGTAGATTGAAGACGATCTCCTAAACAAAGTTTGGAGGGCCGATGGGAGATTGGATAGTAGGGAGATGTATACTACTACTCTCTCCTGGGGACAATGTCTTGTTGGGAAGCACGTTGATAGAGATGGCATGATGATACGGCAGCAGCAATATACGGAATATGCGAGCGCGTATCTCACAACGCCTTTTGGTCACTTCGAAATAGGAACAGTGTCATGGTGGATGACAAGGCTGGCAGCGAAGCCTTGCTTGCTATAGCCCTGGGCCCTATAGCTCCAGAGCATTGGTATCCCAACCCAGTGTCAGGAACACGAGGGTTTCTGTATTATCGGCTGGGAGAGTATATGGCGATGGAAGGACAATGGAAGACTTCCTGTTCTTCGACAAGACGTCATTAGTCACGAGTTCATGGCGTTACAACGAGTATCGTCCCCGGACTGTATTTAGGTGGCTGGCCATGGCATGTTTATGACATGTATGCGCAATGAAATATAGCACAACAAACAAGAGCACAAGAGGTCAAGACGGCCATGCAATAGCGCCGGCGTGGCTGGGAATACGTGATGTCGTCGGGACAAGGCCTCGGCTCCAGACCCACTTGTGGTACACAAGTCCATGAGCGGTGTCGAGCTTGCCAACGGGCGTCACCAGCCACATCAATCCGCCCAGCACCAGCGCTAACACGCCCATAGCGCGCCAACATGGCCAAAACGGGTGCTCTAGTGAATGTTTGTTACAGAGCAGCTGACCAGGACCGACCGTAATTTCCACAAGCTCGAGGCGGGAAAGCTAGGGCGACCCTGGGGAACTGGGGAATTAAAAATGACGATAGCAAGACTTTAGCCAAAACAACGTGTGATTGTTGGTAGTTCAGTCTGAAAGAAAAATCCCGACTCATTTCCGCTTGTGGACAATGACAACATGCGCGTCACCCATGCTGCATCGACGCCCCTTGCCCACGAAAAGATCGAACGTGATCGAGACATGGGAAACACGAAAATGCGGTGGGGCCCTTTCCATGCCCATGTCGCTCTGAAGCTAAAAAGTCAGACCTTGTTCCCGATAACCGCCCCGTGCACTTTCTTTGCTCGGATCTGTGGCGTCACTCTCTGGGTCGAACAAGCGAAGGACCCATGGGTTCGAGGGCGGGAGCCATAGCTTCTACGTCACCCTGACTGCTCGTATCGTCTTTTGGGGGGATACTGGCAGCCGAGCCGGCATAACGTTGCCGGATAAGAAAAAGCAGAAGGGCTAGAAGCGGAGACTGTGATGGCACTGGGACTTGGGATGTGTGGGTGTGTTGAATGGTAGGCTGATTTGGCAAAACGATTCAATATGGGGGTAGTAAGAGAGATGTCGGGCTGCCTGCTTTGGGCACGGCGTGTGTGATGGCAGGGTAGGTGATTGGGGTGGTATTAGCGATCGCTTCCGTTTCAGGGACTACGAGTGACGTCGATGCTCTTTTAAGGTTGTGGCGGCAGACCCGCTATCACGCGTGCAAAGCAGGGGACATTCCCATGTCTTGCGTCACGCCTTGTGCATATGCAAAACCTGCCTTTCCCACTGACGTTTTTGCGCGTCCTGTGCGTGTGTTGGTTTGCAGGATCCAGGGCCAGAAACGGGTCCAGAGTCAGCTGGCAGGCCCGTGATGGGCTTTGACGGAAAATTTGACTAGTGGGCGGTATGCCAGCCATCTCAAAGGGGAGTGGGGCGGGCTGCGGCTGCTGCAGGCTGGGTTGCGGTGTAGTAGGTGTGGTGGTGTATGTACGTACTATCGAGAAATGAGATGAGGAAAGCGAACAGCGAGCATCAGCAAGCACCCAGGCACGGACGCTTGTGACGTAGCGTTTGTGCAACCGCCTATGCTTGCACTTGCACTTGCACTTGCTGCACACAATCACAATATAAGCTCCCTTCACCACCTTTGTTTGTTGCTTCTTCTCCATCCTATACCACACACACACCACTCACACATAATACCTACACAACAATCTTCCTCGTCCCCAACCTATCCCGCCACACAAAAACAAACACCACTTAGCCGTCTTCCAAAAAGAACACCGCAACCATGGGTGCCGTAGTATCCTGCATCAAGTCAATCGTACGTCTGCTCCTGTACCCTTACATACACCCTCAAGCTCCCTAGACTAACATTGCATTCCAGTTCCGCACCATCGGAAACTGCATCATGGCCATTGTCAACGCCATCGCCGCTGGTCTTAAGGCGATCATCAACGCCATCGTCTCGCTCTTTGGTATCATCATCAGCTGCCTGACGTGCGGTCGTGGCGGCGGCGGACGTAGAAGGACAACGCACACGAGTAGAGTCTAGTCCTGCGTCCAAGTACCTCTCTTCCGCTTGACTGACGCCGACTCTGCTTTCCACCCGTCAGCATGGCGCTTGAGAAGATATGGGTACTACTACTGAGGCTGCATCCTGAGCGCGCAACTGCGACTGTGATGGCTGGGACTTGAACGGTCGGTGCGCGCCATCGGGGGGGTGGCTAAGGGTTACTTTTCCTTTGTTGTTTTTCGCTGTATTGAGAGAGCGGTTATACCCTTGGAGTGGAGGACGATGGATGATGCGGTAATGATTATGGTACGGAAGCGAGCGAACGACCTCTTTTTTTTCTTCTGATCATCTGTATTACCTTTTTATTGTATGGTCTAGCTCGACAAGATGGATGCAAAGGGGGAGTGGCAAGTCGCGAACGTGGCTTTCTTTCTTTTCTTGATCGCTCCACCTGCGCATAGATTGATACCCCCAGCTTTGTACGAATGGACCCTACTTTAATCACGCTACAAGTTCACTCTGCATCTCTTGATTTGCTCATCTGTTGAAGTCAATTCGCCTGCAGTTCCTAGTCTACACGCTACAAATCCTTAGTCTACACATTTCCAACCACACGATCGACACAATCTTGGCTTTACTACCTTCAAACTAAACTGGACTAAACTATCACGGCAAGCCACAAAAAAATGAAACAGCAACTCTCTTCCCCTAGCAAACCCAACTAACAAAAATACCTCATGAACCAACCAACAAATAACAACAAAGGAAATCACACCACCAAAGTTTCACAGACTCAAAAAAAGCACATTCAAGAGTTTAAAAAAAATAGCGGGGAGGGGGTATCAGAAGTAGATTCACCAGGACTTTCAAACAACATCAAAAAAACTAAAACTAACTTGTACATCACAAACCCCCTTATATATCCCTGTACGATCCATCCATCGGTTTCCTACCCACACCACCATACTGCTGCTGCTGCGTCTCAGCTCCCGGCGTAAAAGCTCGGTAAGAAGGCTGCGGCGGTGCTTGTTGTTGTGGTGGTGCTACCGTGTCCGCGGCCGGAGTGTAGGATCTTTGTCCTGGGTACGCTGATACTGGTGAGGTTGTTTGGGCAGGGCGGCCGGGGGTAAGGGATGGTGGCGGACCCGAGGATTGTGGTGGTGGCGAGGGTAGGGGTTGCACGGGCGGTGGTGCTGGGTCGTAGGTGTGGTACGAGGGGGCTATGCTTGCGTTGTAGTTGTATGCATTGGAGGAGGGTGCCTGGGATGAGTAGTTGTGCGTGGGCTCATCGGGGTAGTCTCGTTGGTCGTAAGTGTCTTGGTGGTTGTTGTAGGGCGCGGACTGGTTGTATGACTGCGGTTGATTGTAGGATGATTGTGATTGATTGTATGACTGTTGGGGTTGGTTGTAGGATGTTGGCGGTTCCTGGTACGGTGCGTGCATGTCACTCTGTTGGCTCAGTTGATCGTGAGAACCGTATGCTTGGGATGGCCCTGGTGAACGTCGACCATATGGTTGTTGTTGTTGCTGCTGCTGGCCGTATCCTGCACCGGCTCCGTATACTGGAGATCGACCCTGTCCAGGCGAGCCCTGGCGATATCCGCCTTGCTGGCCATATGGCTGACCATATTGTCCCTGTTTGTTATTGTAAGACGGGGCATCGCTCACAAACGAATTGTTTTGTGGATATCCATAATCTGGTGAGACTGGGGACCTGCCCGGGCCAGGAGACCGCCTTGTTCCAGGTACTGCTGCTGCTGCCGCCATGCCTCCCATGGGTCCACTTGTCACACTACCATTGTGATCTAGCCTGTCCAACTCCATATCTCCCTTCTTTTGCGGCACTGGCTGTTCCTCTACCTCTACGTGCACATCCCGTCCTTCCTTCCACGTTGGCATAGCCGGAAGGGAGTCTTCATTTGCCGCAGGCTTGGATGAATCAAAGGTGGCGTATTGCGGTCTTTCTTGTTGCGGGGCAGGTGCAAAGGTGGGCATGGGGTTGGACTGGTATTGCTGCTGATTTGCAAGTCGCGGGTTGAAGACCGGTGGAGGTGGCGCGGCAGCATGCGCCTGCGCATAAGGGTTCGCTTGAGGAGGAGGTGGGCCATACGATTGAGGATATGGGTGTCCAGAATCACTCTTGATGCGCTTGTGTGAACTTCCTCGACGGCCGCCGCCACAGCAAGAAGCGCAGCATCTAAAGCAACAGCAGGCGCACTCAGCGCCGCAACATATGCATCGCGCAATGCAGGTAATTACTGAGAAGAGGATGAGACCACCAATGATGATTCCGACAATGACTGGCCATCTGCTGTATGTGAGCAAAGGGGAATTGGGCAAGGAGAGCCGCTTCTACGCACTTGCAGTAGGATTTGGCCATGCAGTTGTCCCATGACGAAAAGGTGTTCCTCGCGTCGTCCAGGGGATTCTGGCGCGCCAACAGCGAGGTCCCGAGTAACGACGGCATCGCGATGCCAGGGGGGGGGGGGTGACAGCAAAGTCACAGTTTACGCGAAGACGGAGGCGTCAGAAAGACGTGTTCCGACCAGCGGGTATAAAGTAGAAATTGAATTGCGATACGACGTTGATGATGAGACTAGGCTTATGACGATCGACGGCAGACAACGGGCCTCACATGGCTCCGGGGTAAATCGCAATCGGGAAGGGGGTCAAGCATGGGAGAGCCTGAGAAGAGAGAGGAAGAATTGTGTGTACTGCGAAGGCTGGTGTCCCTGAATGAAGGCGTGCTTAAGCCGAAACGTCGCAAAGGCTCGGTAGGGGCGGCGGCAGGTCAATCACCCTTGCGACGCGTTTCGGTGGCTGAGCTGCCGCTTTTAGAGTTTGGGCGCGCTATGGGCCACTCGTTCTCCGCGCCATTTTCCTGCTGACTGTCAAAAGAACGGCGTATAGCTATAGCGTCCAAGTAAAAAGACACAAGGATTGAGCTTGGCCTCGGTGGTGCACACACACTCATTAGCCGTTGCTGTCGCCAACAATGTGACGGAGAGGTGGCGAGTCTTAGCGGGGAACGCGAAGAGCATGATCAACCTCCACACACCCACGGCACCAGCCTCGCCACCATCGGGCAAAGCAAATGGCGTCAAACGTCCAGAAGTCTTCCAGGTTCAAGCGTATTAATAGAAGGTGGTATGCGATCCGACGGGCCGGGGATACTATGCATTTCTATCCTCCTTATGTGACGAACAGGTGTGTATGCATGCAATGCTGATTGGTTTTATGGTGAAACTTGGACATCTTTGAATACACCGGGTACAGAATATTGACATGCTTCTTCTAGCTAGGTCGGTAGCAGAGTGCATGTGACTTGTCTCAGGTCTTTTGCATCATAATCGATGGCTAGTCTACTATACAGCAACCATGCCATGGCGAGATAAGAATCAGGTTACCTTTAGCGCGTACCGTCCATATTGCACGAGAAACTTGACCAAATGCACATTTGGCTTGGACTTGAGTCCCACTGAGGATGTACCTACCTGGCTTCCAAGATGTGTGAATAGTACAGTGGGTCGTTGTAATTGCAGGTATGCTGTGCCGGCTGATTCACAACTCACAACGCAACAAGTGGGTACATGAGCATCCTCCATACACCGATAGCCCCAACCGATTGGAAGATACCAAGAGACACAGCCTCGCTGCTCGTCTCAAAATCGAGTCTCAGAATAGCCCGGCCAGCGGTACCACTCGGTGCCGACATGACACGGAGGAAACACTCAACACTACTACATTCTAGTCTTCCAGGCCAGAGTGTAGTAGCCTTAGCCTTCCTCGTCACACCCCAGATTCTAGGCTTTCATTCCACGGGCCCCCTAAACATCTACTACGTACATACTACTACGAGACTATCCACTAAGCTACCCCGCACTAACCCAAACGGATCACTCCGTCCATCACCACTGCAACTGCAACTGCAACCGCACCTGCAAGCTCCCCGCTCTCCTATCTCACCCTCCCTCACACCTACGTCACCGATCACGCACCCGCTGCCTCGCCGCCTACATAACCCGCCTCATTCCCCTTACCCACCATGGCCTCTCCATCTGACTCGCAACAACAAAAACAACCGCCCAACTTCAACGCGCTTCTGCAATACCTGGAGAGCCAACCCGAGAACGCAGACACCGAGACGACCTCGCTAGCCACCGATACCAAGAAGCTCAACGTGAGCGAGGAAACAACCGAGCAAGACAAAGTCAACGCCTACATAGCCGAGTTCTTGTACATTGGCGGCCCAGAAGTCCTTGCAGGAAAGAAATCAAACAAGCAAGAGTGAAGATGCCTGACCACCCTGTTGAAGAGTCTGCTCCTGGTAGTAAGTCTTCTCTCTCTCTCTCTCTCTCTCTCTCTCTTGCCCTCCTCTGAGGTGTTTTGTCAACCCACAAAGTAAATCTAACTCTCCACCCCGCCACAGGCATCACCGACAAGATCGCAAAGGAGTCTTCGGACTCGACGGCTTCGTCGCACGACATGCACAACACGGGCAATACGCAGCATGCTGAGGCCTTCAATTCAAAGGTACGATGAACCATGCTTGATAAGGATTTGGTGGAGCAAGGCGATATGTTCCTGAGGCTAACAGAACACGTACATATAGGGCCCGGTTGTTGCCAAGGACCTGCCCGAGCCCGCGAGCAAGGAGGAGCTGAAGAAGAGGGCTGAGGAGCTGAACAAATAGATGCATCATGGCGTTCGGGTCTCCAACATAGCATACTATAAGGCTGCATATGCAAGATGAATAATACATATACCATGCATTGGTTCTTTCTACTCTCAAGCAAGTGGTCCTCTGCTGTGTCATGACGCATCATCCAAGCAGAGCAAAGTAGCGCACAAGGTCATGGACAGTGACTGTTAAATTCCTCAATGCCATCGTATCGAACGACTACAGGGTACAAAAAAAGCGAGCCGCTTCAAACAGCCCTGCTCATCAAGAGAAGAAGAAGAAGAAATCTGAGAGTAAGAAAGAAACAAAGTAAGAAAATGCAACCAGGCTTGACCCAGCCTGACCTGAAAAAAACTCCTTCCTTTTTTTTGTATAGATCCCAACAAACATCGTTTTTCCTTGGTCTTCATCCCTTCCCAAGATGGAGAGAAGAAAAAAAACACCCCTCTGTATATCTCATCCAACAAAGTTTTCAAGAAAAAAAGACAAAAACAATCCGTCCTCTCTTCTTCACTAGATATCCAATGACGTCACCATATACTCGAGAACTCCAACCACAAAAAAATCCACACATGGGGCACACACACACAGACACAAAAAAGGACATGACAAAGACCTCGTTTGGGTTATCATGTGGATATACTTTATGGTTAAAGAAATCCAAGAGTACGTACAGATAAGAAAAAAGAGAGCAACGGCCATGGATATCTAGACAAGAGGGAGAACAACAAGTGAAAATTCGAGAGACGGACAGTAAAGGAGACAAAGAGGACAGGACAGGACAGGTAGACAAAGAGAGGTATCGTGCAGATGTGCCCAAAACAAAAACAACAACGAGAGAGAAAGAGACTGAAGGCTACCAAGATGCTTCGTAATGTAGAGCAGGAAAAAAAATCAGGTAAATGTCGTTACAAATGCCGTCCCCCCAATCCCTCCACCTTTTGGTGGTGGTGTGGGAGGGGGATAAGGTGGAACAGAGATGGGTATATATGGCAGCCGACATATCGAGAGAGAGAGAGGGAGATGGTGCAAATGTCTTTCAAAAGAAGAAAACAAACAAATCAGAGTAGTAGTCAGCGCGACGTCTCTGCAATCATTGTCGCTGTCGAAAAGAGTATGCAAGCAATGGCGATGATGATGATGATGATGATGATGACGGTGCTGCTGCTGCTGGGTATCTGTGGCTCAATGCTTTGTTGCATGCACGCATGAGGGGTTGTGTGTGGGTGTGTTAGATGCCTGATGCTGTTGCTGCCGCTATCGCCGGGTGGGTCAACGTCAACGCTAAAGGCATTGAAGGCAAAGATATACGCCCAGCTAAAAGTCCTTGGCTTAGCTTCTCTGCTCTCAACGCCAAAGATTAAGAATGAAGAAAAGTGACACGCCTGCAAGCAGACAGTAAGAAAGAAAGAGGCACTAACGCTCTCGAAACCATCGAGCTATTCTACCCTTTTCATTGGCTCCTTGGGCTTCGAGGTGGGCACTGCGTTCCCAAAGTTCCTAGTGCGATTTCTTAGCTGCTTGACACTACGCCAGTCTAGAGGGAGTTACTTACTTCGTCATCCTTGTTGATCTTGACGTCGAGGATCAGGGTCCGAATTTCTTCGCACTTTTGCCAGTTTGGATAGGGCGTGCCCTGGGCGCGTTGCACGCCGACAATGACCTCGCCCATAATCTCAAACTTGCGCCAGTTGATCCTCTCTTTGCCAATAACTCCTCCCGGTAATGGTTCTCGGCTGTCGCGTTTCCCTGCCGCGGGCTCGAAGACGCTGACACCGGGATGTGGCGCCAAGGCTGAGTCGGTCTTCTTCTTGTCGCCAATGAATGTTGAATTGCCTTCCGAGGCTGATACGAGATCGCGGCGAAGTAGCGGAATGTATGGAATCCGTTCTCCTGAACTATTGTCCCATGCCAGTCGATATGCGGCGTGCGATTTGGTGTGGCTCATCAAAATGTCTAGTTTCCAAAAATCTTGAGTCGTGGCCTGTGGAACCAGGTCCTTGGTTGCATGCAGGCGGATAACAGCTGTGCCCTTGATGCCAGCCATAACAGCACCCAGCATGTTGTAGTTGTTCAACTTGCGAAGCTGCCGCGCAATCTTCATCCACTTCTCCATCATCATTGCCCTGTGCTTGGGCTTTTCGCGGAGGAGAATGTAGTTTGTGACGAGTAATGCAATGTAGTTGAAATGTTCGGTCATACGCGTAACGTTTTCGAGGTTTTTGCATCTCTTCTTTTCGTCGTTGTTGAGGCTGACATGGCGGACAAGATCTCGTGGTCGGACCGATGAGAACATGATCCAATCTATGCGGGTCAGTTCTCTGGCAATGGCATCTTCTGGTTCGTTCATGAACTGGTGCCATTGGACCTTTGATAGGGGCTTGACAGGATTGGGCTCGAGCTGTCGGGCAAGACGTTCGTTCTTTTCGACCTGGGTGATGAGGGTCTGTGATGAGCCCATGGACTCGTTTGTAGATGGGGCACCGCCAGTCAAACTACTTCGGGCAATGGAGTTTCGCGAGGATTCGTCCATGGACATGTGGCCCAAAGCTCTTGAGAATTCGTCTTCGTCCGAGTCTTCGTCAAGCACATTGTTGTGAAATGCGGGTATGTTTTCATTCTGCATCCGTTGGCGATCGCTGCAGGCCCAGTCGGTGTCGTCGTCTTCGGTGACCATTTCCAGATCGCGAAGGATTTCGGTAGCGGCAACGGAGAATTCACAGTTCGAGGCCAACGATGACGCAAATCGTCGAATCAAGCGGCGGGTGGTGGGGTAGGCAAAGTCACCAGGGTAATAGGCAACCCACTGGTGTAGTATGGTCAGGTAGCGGAGTTGAGCAATGATGCGGATCATCGGTAGGTCCTTTTCCTTGTTGAGAGCCTCGAAGCGTTTGATAATGGCCTCGAGGAGCTGGCCCGGTGTGGCGAACCTCCGGTACAGGGCGAGGAAGACGGAGACGAATTTGGTGTCATTCTTGGACATTGGCTGTGCCAGTAGTCGGTCGACGAGCTGCTCAAAGGTGTAGCCATTTTCGTCAGAGGGCTTCACCGACATGATGCTTTGGCCAGCATCCGAATCTTGATCATCGGAATCCTGCGAGTCGTAGCCGGGCGACTCGTCGGCGTTGAAGAAGGTTTTGTTGACGTCGCTGGGCTTATAACGGTGGCCTTTGATCTCGCTAGGCTTACGTTGAAACCTAAGGGAGATTTCCGAGCTAGCACGCTCGTGTTTGCGGCTCCAAAGGTCCTTTTGGGTCTTGGACTGTACTGCGGAAGAATTGGCCCGGCGCCGCGCCATCGAGGAGGCCTGCGAGGGAGCTGAAGTACGTCAATGACTTGCATCCTTGTGCACAGGCACGACAATGCTGGCCATGGGGGGGCGCGCTCTCGACACGTCACGGGGGGGGCTTGTCAGGAAAGAAAAAAGGAAATGAATTACTTACGTCGCTTGGCCGCTATTGCTGCGCGGGTGATGACCGACAGGCATGCTCGGTGCGCCTCCGGCGACGATTCGGAGGTCTGAAACACGCTCACGTCTCCAATGAAGGACTTTGCTTTGTGCTCCACCACAGATGGATCGACCTCGCGGTGAGCGGGGTGTTGATCGCATTTGCATGCAACCAAGATGAACGGCAGTTGGACCTTGTTGAACGTATCTGCAAACATGGTTAGCACGACGCAAGAGCGGAGGCGCCTCGTGGGCCGGTTGGAACGGGCACTAACTGAGCATTTCAGGCACGTTAGCCAGGCTTTCCTGGTTTGTGACATCGTAGAGAATAACGGCGGCATGGATACGAGGCGTGGCACAGTCGTCGGTGCTGTCTGGCCACTTGATGTTCCCGCGCTCGCCCACTTGCACGTCGCTGAAGGTCATTTCGACCAAGCGGACTACATAGATGGTGCCATCAATGGTCATTCTGCGCGAGCAATTGCCTGCAGGTGCAGCTTCGGGCAAGCCGAGTGCGCGTCGGGCAAAGGTAGATTTGCCTGAACCCCGCACTCCCACAACGGCAATATTGAGGTCTTGCATAGTGGTGGCGGCTGAGTCGCTGTTGGCGGACTAGATAATCACAATGTCAGCCAGTTTAAAGTTTTTTTGTGCGAGGCTTATTTTCGTGATGATTTCCCATTTGTGTTGTTCGCAGGCTCAATCCTTTGTCGTTCTTCGTCTTACTTTGGATTCCTCCTCTTTTCTTTTTTTCTTTTTTGCGCCGTGGAAACGCTAGCCCCATAACAACAACAATAGCAACAACAACAACCAAGGAGAGAGAGAGAGAGGAAAAAAAATCACGACTCACCCCCGTAGATGGGTCTGATACGGAGTCGCCCGCTTGGCTACGATCCTTGACATGAGTGGGAGATAGTGGGCCTTCGGTGTCGGACGAGGACTCGGCGCTGCTGCCGGCCTCTTCTTCCTGGGCTATGGGGACAGGCTGGGGGAAGTGGTATCGCTGGAAAAAGGCATCGTCGGCAATTTCCTCGCCTTCGTGGTCGTCATCTGTGCGTGGAGAGTCGGTACTAACGTCACTATCGCACTTGGGCACGTTGGGAGCCGAGTAGGCGCGCGTCTTGATGCCCGGACGCTGGGTTGAAGGGGCCATGGCACTACTCTCTCTGCGCGAGGAATGCTTCGTGGATGGCGGGGGGTGGGCAGCGCGTCCTCCTCCTGTGGCAGGCATGGCGGATATGGTGGGGACGCAGAGGCAAGGCGTTCAACCGACACGGGTGGGCGCAGACAGTGGCCTGTACGACGTGGATGCGGGCGTGACGACAAGCCCCAGGCACAGTTGGGACATTGGAGGCGCGCGTGTGCCGAGCAGAAGACGGGGCGTGTGCGAGGGTGGGGAGCAGGCTGGGGTGGATGAGGGCCCAAGGGGCTGTCAGGAGAAGGAGTATGTAGATGGGTGGATAGGCTGGGTGGATGTTGAGTGGTGCCCGCGTGTTTGGGAGGGCGAGAGATGAGTGTGGGCGTGTGTGAGTGTGTGTATGTGCATTCGACGGGGAGAGAGTCG